ACTATCATCGAGGATTTTTTGGTGCTGTTTTTTTTTTGTTTTCGACTTTTTCTGACAAAATCACGAGATATAAATGGTTTTATTTTCAAACTTGCAAATTTCCAATTAAAAACCTTCTCCTGAGCATTACTAATTTTCAGCTGCTAAAATAATTACAGTAATTTCCTGTAAAGCCAGCTATACCCTAAGCTCTCTGAGGCCCAAGACCAACTCGCGCTCTGTATTAGGATGTGCGACGTAAGGCGCCTCGGTCTTGCGCCCGATACTTTTAGGTGCGACGTACCTACGGGAAATTTATGTATTACTTTTTATTGATAGTCGGATTCAGTCAGCCGGTTCTAACATTTTGGGATAGCGATTTTTGGTTCCAGATTACACTGCATAAAATTAATCAACTCGTATGAAATTCATTTTTTGAATGTAATTTTTTGACATCTATGCAACAATTTTGCAGAAACTTAAGATTTTCAGAAAATTAACAGACCAGTACAAATAAAGGCGACAATTTCAGGTAACATATCATAGTCGTAAAAAAAAATTCATCTGCGAAAACATTCAAAAAACCCAAAAAATCCAGCCTAACAATAACGCCACCAAATTTTTGAGATAGTTGATTTATCATAATCAGTACGTTGACTTACTCCTGCATACTAATTTCCGGCATCTTAGGGTGGGAAGCAAAAAAATCATAATTAATAATTTCCTGAACAAAGTAGCTTCTGTTGTTCAAAAAGAAATAGAGATTTCTATTTTCCGCTAAATCGCTGTCCTTCACTCTCTTCAATTTTTTTCTCCAAACTATTAGATTTTCCCGCTACAGCACACCTTGAAAAAACCGAGTAGGGGAGAAAATAATGCTTTCCAATTCTACCTGGTTACCTTTACAAGCATGCGAGAACTAGCTCGTTTCTGCTTCAATGATCTTCTCTCACCAAAATCTTCTTATGTAAAACCTCAATTTCTCTTTTATTATGAAGACAAGAAAGCTCTTTCATAAGTAATTTTAAACACATGCCTTAATATGTTTTGAGCTTGCAGAAAGAAGTAGTT